AAGAGTGTTTAACCATCTGTATGTATTGATTTCCGTAAACATTAATCGAGACAAAGGGTTCTCCCGGGAATTTGACCAGACACGGTCCATATTCTAATTTCACGTAATGGTCGGCGCCATTGACGGTCTGTTGACCTTTCAACTCGTCTTTATAAATCCCCTTATTAGTCAGTTTATTGTAGTCTATTTACGTCGCTGTTGCTGAAAATAATCCCAGGTCAGAGTACATTCACTACGGCAATTATCATTGAGGGGATTATAGCGGACTAATCTAGTTATAATCACCTAGCTAGTGTCGTTCGCAGTCATTAATTGTTGATTCACAATCACATACCACGTTGGATATAAGTTGCAGCATTGCACAAATTGATAATTACTGACTATAAATATACATGTACATCTTAGCAAAATTTTTATTGAGACGTAGAAAAAGGACGTGTGCATGCTTATTTGAATATACTGATACATAAAGTATTTCTTGTTCAAACCTCAGCAGTAGCTGAATAAAGGAAACATCATCTGAAATACTTTTCAATGTAATAAAGCTGCTTGTAGACAGTCATGGATTATTGTCGCAATACCATGTCGGAGCACTATCGTTTATTTGCATCAATTTGTTCTCGTCTAACTCCACCTATCAGCTGGGAACACCTTAGATGACCTCACATAAACCAATGTTTATTGGCGGAGAGCACGTTGACCCTTACGCCTCAAACACGCCAAGGAGAGCATAAAACGACCACATTAAGACTTCAGTGCCCATCAGATAAAACAAATAAAACCGTAAGAAATAACAAAGCTCACACTTAAAGAGATTTTTTTTGTATACATTACTTTCCTCCACCCAGTTCTATTAAGTAGAGGCATAATGCAAACGAGTTTTGAAATGAGTTATGTCAATGGAGAATCAACAAGTCGATTTCCTGTCTCGACAACAAACTGTATTGTTTATTATAAGTAGCTATTCAAGATAGCTATTTTTTGTACCTATTACGCCTGAGGATGCTATATAACCTATTTCTGCTATGGTTCTCACACTTAGAAAAACAATTCTTGACAATTCTTCATGCCATCTGTACAGAATCTCTTTGTTATATTTTGGTTCCCAAGCCATCATCTTGTATAATGACAAAAACAAAAGAAGAAGCACATTATCAGCACTTAGTGCACAATGATCCGAGTGCGAGTGCTGTAACTATTGCTGTTGTATTGTGGATTCCCACGAAGTGTAATCGAGTACGACTCAAGTTGTCACCATTTGCTGCAAATCACGTACACCGCAAATATATGACCCACGTACCGTCCAAAGCAGCCGTGAACGATGATAATGGCATAGGGAAATGACAATTCAGTTTTAGCTGTTAGATAGGACTGGGTGGTACTCAAACACCTATACGATATTTTGTTTTCATGAGCGACCAATTGTGATTGTTCTGCAGAAATATATTGCTCGTAAATTGAAAAGTGGAATGTTTGTTAGACTAATAGGTGATACGTAGTACAACTTTTACTCCATGGGCAGGGATGCCTAGTATTTTGTAATCTGTAGACATCTGTCATCATCATGTAAACATTATACCTAAATGTTACAAGGCCAAGAGGAAATTCCAGACATGTTTTTACAAACTTAATTAAGATTCCTTCTGATTGTTGAGGTCATTTTACGAAATAGCGGGGCATATTAATTATTCGTCGCCCGTTTAGACTATACATATAGGAGGAATTAATACTTATAGCTGAAATTTCAGTTTCTAAGAGGCAAAAAAATGTTTTGACGCATGCTTTGCTGGAGATCCATGAAAACACTTAACCAGTTGCCCTAAGGAACAAATACCATTGTTTCTGGTTTGCTTTTTTGCACCCTTTGCAATTAAACTTCTATAAACATTCCAAAGTAGGCAGTTGTTTTTTTTAACGAACGTCAGTTTATACTCAATGATGTTTCAACTTCCCTTTCCTGTTAAATGTCTTAAGCGAGAAAAAAGACAAAAAAGTTGAAGTGCGAGAGATTGTTTATCTTTCACGAAATAACCTCGTATTATAGAATGAAACAACTGTGAATGCCAACAACAGGAATATTTTTTTTTTGATAATAACAAAATTTTAGATATATGGTTACATTTTGCTCGGTTAATCTATCTTTTGAGGACGTAGCATTTCTATTTAGCAACATGCACATTCTCTGTGTTCTTCGAGACATGACAAGATAGAGAAACTAGTCAGGAATTTAACAACAGCATTTATGTAAATAGAATTTTCCTTTTTGTAAGTGAAAAACATAGATGCACAAGAAACAGCATACACTGGTGTAAACACAAAGGGAAAAATGCAGGTGCATGTCTTAAGTCGATTGGGATCATAAAAAATCCCTTTATTTCACTTCAGGATATCTACAGGTGTGAAAAAACACTTGTTGCTTGATTCACGGTAAAAATGTCATAGATTTAGACGTGGAACAGACGTGGCATGCTCTAATGAAAGTCGATAGAAAAAAAATCAGACAGTAGCCTCGGTGATGCGATAAAACGTATCCCCAATGAATAAAATTTGCTGTGAAATTACTGTGCAATTCCAGAACTGCAGCGATATTTAGGAATATTGATTTCTTCAGGAAGCTATTTAATGGTCTAACCGAACAGAATGCATTCCAGCAAAGTTCTAATGGCAGAGGACCGCTGCTGTGTCCCAAATACTTCACGTCAAAACTTGAGGAGTCCATGTTTAGCACCATTTCCGGTCCTTCATCTGTTGACGTAACAGAATGAGACCTTATGGGATATTTCGCTCTTTTTGAGATAAAAATAAACAAGCTGTCTTGTTTCTGATATCGTTTACATCAATTCCGATATTTTTATCAGACAGTATATTTTTTTTTTTTGTCGAAGTAAAGTATGTCAAGAGTGAAATATGATATGAAACATGATCTCGTGGATTGCGGGGGGACAAAGAATATTTAAACCCTCTTCAAAACTGCAAGGGTAACAATCGAAAGTTATGCTTGTGGTAGAAGTGAAGAATACTTGACTAACTTAAATATCACTATGGCATACAAAATGTCAAAATTTTATGATTGAGGATGCAATTATAAAATAGTAATTTGTTTCCTGGGAACGTTGAGCGGCCTACGAATAGCGTTCACACCAAGATCTTGTGACAAAGTCCCTGTAACAACTTTACGAAATAACTCTCTCTCTCTCTCTCTCTCTCTCTCTGAAGGAAACAAAATACCAAAATACCTGGAATGGGAGAGATTATTGAAGTTTATTGTTTCCTGATTGCAAGACACAATCTTAAATCATAAAGTAGCCGAAGCCATTTAGTCTAGCTATTTCGGTGATTCTAGAGCAAATATTATAAATAAGTATTGATTAAAGCAATGATCTCTTGCTATAAGACTGTTAAGCCAAATAGTATTATAGCACAAGAGAAAACCATATTTCTTTATTACAGACAAAGACTATTTTCCGACTCTATCACCAGCCCGGAAAGCAAATCCTTAAGTTCGGTTCATGGTATCAATAAATCCTATGCAAAGATTACGACATTCAGAGACATAGTTTTAGCCTGGTCGATCGATTTATTCTGAATTTTCTAGAAGAACTGGTCTCTTGCAGGACAGAAAATTACAGTACATCGTTATCACAAAATGAATTGTCTAGTCGTCTTTTCAATCAAATTACGCTGTAGTATTGAGAATCCGTTCTTTCTTGGTTTTTCTACAGGTATTTAGTGTGCCAGTGTTATTTTTTCACAAACACCGTACATTTTTCCCCCCTCAGTACATGTAATCGCCATCTTAATAACTTTTTGAAACAAAGGAAAAAACAATATCCGATTCACCAATATCAATCTCTTAATGAAAGTTGAAGTATTTTAAGTGTGAGTTGTATTTGACCTTAAGATATCTCCGGTTCCCTTGTGGTCACCCAATTGTCGCAGCAGTTTTCAAATTGTATCACTTTAATTAGAAGTTTTCATTTTAAGTGTATACAGACTACAGTAATTGATTAGAAATGCATGTTAAGCGTCGTATGGTTTTTTATAATGTGTCTCCGATTGTTCAATGCCTACAACATAATTTAGTTTGATGATTCATAGAGTATATTGCCGAGTTGCCGATGACTGAGGTTTGCAGATCAAAAACAGCGCTGCAAGAAAACCTGCAAAATCTATACTGCAGCGAAGCAGCGCTCAAGAGACGACATAGAATTGGAAAAAATAAAGTTTTCGTTTTATGTTGGCGTTACACAACTCTGCTTCGTCTGATGACTCTTGCAAAAGCGTTTTGGGGAACCGATGCAATCGTTATTAATTCATTATATTAACCTACTAAATACTGCATCAAAGGTTATAAATATTACTCTCGCCGCCCCTTAAGACAATCAAGGATAGGGGGTTGGTATGGGTTCGTTATTCTTAAACCAAATGTACCGAGGTATTAATTTGAAAGAATCCGCAAGGAATGTGGAGTCCTGACATAGTTATATACTGTTACATCGACTGCGTACGAATTTTATGTTCATCGTTGTATGTTTTCCCGGTTTGAAAACTTGCACGTGGATGTAAGATAAAATTTTATACACCGACACTATCAATTCAGTACAGATAAGTAAGAAACTTAAGATGGTGAGATTCCATGCGAGGGGATTTAAAGAAAAAAAACGTAAAATTTCAAATGTGCAAATTTATATACATGTATATACTGAATAGTACTCAGTTTGATCAAATTGAAGAATACGTATAACTCACCTGTGTAAAATGAATGGATTCGCGACTAAGTCTGTGATAAAATGAATAAAAATTGATATATCACAACGAAATTAACAACGGTATTATAAAAGAGAAAAATGGTGATGATAGAACAAATGAAAATCACTCTTTAAACATATAGTTAATAAGATTCATACAATACAGCTTTTCTACTGGAGCACCCATTTTAAAACCATTGATCCGCCCCTGATTAATTTTGTTAATGTTTGCTTTACTATTTTTGTTTCCAGTGGTGCTGGTAACAGGAGCGGGGGGATTCATCGCTACCCACATCGTCAAACAACTCCAGGAGGAGGGGTACCGCGTTAGGGGTACACTCAGGAGTCTGGAAGACGAGGAGAGGATCAAAAAGCTGAAGGAGCTTTGTCCAGACGCCAAGCACGAATTAGAGCTGGTAGAGGCGGATCTAACCAAACCGGAGTCCTGGGAGCCGTATGTATTTTTTTTTTTTCAAGCTTCAGTCAAATATGAGTCGATCAAAGGAAGATATAAAGTACGGCTTTAACTACTAGTAACACTCCTCCAAAAATGAGTTCAAACCATTGTTAGATATTTTGATATTTATACTTGAAATGCTTAAATTTGTTTTTACCGTTATCTTACACCTTGTTTTTATGTCTTCCGTACCAGCTTATTAAAAACTTTTCTGTAAGGCCTCAAAAAGATTCACGCGGGTCCCATGAACACTGAAAGTTTGAATTATAGGATTGCAAAAGATGTTAAACATGTCTCGTATTTTCTGTTTACAGGGCTGAAAAATGTTAAATATGGCACGTATGTTCTGTTTATAGGACTGTAAAGGATGTTAAGTATGTCACGTGTTTTCTGTTTACAGGGCTGTAAAAGATGTTTAGTATGTCATGTATTTTCTGTATACAGGGCTGTAAAAGATGTTAAATATGTTATACACGTCGCCAGTCCCTTCCCTGCCCAGTCCCCCAAGGAAGAAAGTGAGCTCATTCAGCCAGCCGTGGAAGGCACACAGGCTGTACTCAAGGCATGCGTGGCCGCCAAATCAGTCAAGCGTGTCGTCCTGACCAGTTCATGTGCTGCTGTTGGATGTGAGTTTTAACTTAAATTTCATTTCCATTTGTAGCTTTTTAATGCAAATTGGTTGGAAACAGAAGTATAAGCTTCTTTTTGAAGTATGCAAATATATCTTCGCTACATTTTTTTCTCTCCGAATATTTTAGCGGTCGTAGGAAAAAAGGACAAAAAGTACAATTTTTTTCAAGGAGAATTTTAATATTCTATTGAAAACAATCGAGAAAATGATAAAGTAAACGTATATAATCAAAGCTGTACATGTGTATATTTGTCATTGTGGTTTTTTTTTTTTAAAACAAAACCTTCAACAAAGTGGACGGTGCGCGCGGTTCACATACCTATTGACTGAAAAGTTTAAAGTAAGGCGTTTTAGATGGCGTTTGAAGCTCTCATTTTGTCACCAATCATCACCAAAGTCAATGAAAGCCATAGATTATGCAAACCCTAATTAGTTTTACATTCAACAAACAACTGCAAGGTGCATTAAGGCCAGGAAATACAATGTAGCGTTGCAATGAGTACATACCCGCGAGGGAAAAAAAGTGCAACTGGAAGTAGAAGAAAAAAATAATGGCTTGTTTGCAAGTATCATTCGATCAACCCAAAGACACTAGGAAGGACACTGCTCTTCAGCGTTATATTTCATTTAATTTCGTAGTTTTTAATGGTTAAGTTATAGTAGTGCATTGGATAATATCGCTACCAAGGAGAAAAGTCTAACATCCAACTTGATATTGAGTAAAATACGCTAAATCAGAGGTTGGTATGACGCAAGTTGACAGTTCGTCGGAACAAATCGATAGTCCCTTTCTAGACGATGACAAACACTACCGGAGTACATTTAAGTGGAAGGTTCGAGCCATTTATCCTTTGTCCTCAGGTTATAAGCTCATACACAAACACACGAAGTGCAGCAACTAGCACTTGGCCATAAATTCCCCACACCAGATTCTAATATTCACAGAATGGAGAACTTTATTGATACACGGTATTTTTCGAAATATGTTCAAACTAACAAGATTTAGTAATTTATTTTTTCTAAAACAACACGTTTAGTCATGTAAGAGAAATGAAATTAAATAATGTATTGAAATAGGCTGTGTTTACTGAATTTTTTGCTGATTCGGATCAAAGACTTTAATGTCCTGCTTCAACTTACACTAGTAGGGCAAGCAGAACAATTCTTTTTCTATTACACAAGGGACATTCATCAATACATCAATATTGTTATTTCAGGGGGCCCTGGCGCCGACACAAGTAAAACGTTCACAGAAGAGGACTGGATGGAACCAGAGAAGCTGAACGCCTACGGCAAAAGTAAGACGCTAGCCGAGAAAGGCGCCTGGGATTACGTCAAAGAACTTCCGGGTATGTCACGTGACTAGAGCAGACGACAGCTAGATATCGTTCCTCTATATAATACTGTAGTATTGTTTAAAGAATTAACAGGATTTAGATATGCATATTTAACGGCATTGCTTTACTTTGCATTTGCCAATTAAAAACTAACCAGACATCATGAAGAAAAAACACTCACACACAAACTTTCAAATAACATATTTTACTCAAATTAAAGAAATATAACTATTTCCAAAGTCAAAAGAAATGTCAAGGACATGTTTCCATATGAACCACCTGTCTTTTTACAATTATTTGTACAACCAGGAGTGCAACAGCAAAGTACATTACAAAAAAAAAAAAAAAAAAGGGGGGTTTTCTCACACGTTAAGGCGACATACAAATCCTACACAATAATCCGCACATACACATTATCATCTATTCTATCGTTTTTATCTCGGTTTGTGCTGTTAGGTATTTGGTGCAGTGTTAAGTTTTTTAGATGACTGAGAAGGCATTTTGCCAGAATATCTCTGCCTTTACCTACAATGTATATAAACATTTATTAAATAGAGAGTAACCAAGCGTCGTTTATTGTAAGAAATGAACATAACTGTTGTTTCATTCGGATATGCACGCCCGAGGTTAATATAACATCAAGAAAAACAACACCGCAAGACAGGTGGGCAAAAAATGTAAAATATCAAACATATAGCAACCTTGTGGGGGAGGGGGGGGGGAAGAAAACAAAAATACATTAATCAAATTCTTAACAGTTAATAGATAATGAATGTAAAATTTGTGTACATTTTTGACAAATAATTAAATTTACACAAAAGGAAAGAATCATTATTTTAATAATTTAAGAGGCCACTTCACTTTTGTACTTTTATAACTTCTCCTCTGTTTTTACTCTCTGCAAAAAATTATTTTTTGAAGATTTCCGCTTTAAACATTAGTAAATAGACAACGCACAATCCTATTCCGATCGGCTAAGCGATGCTTGTTTGTTAGCTATATGCATGTTGCGTAACAAGCAGCGATGGTGAATTATTTGTTTACGTTGTTCGAACATGCACCCATGCAATCGACCTTCTTCCCCAGCATGATAGATCGTTGTTTTTATGTTTTTTTCATTTTATCTTCTCAGATGAAGACAAGATCGAGTTGGCTGTCATCAACCCTGGATATGTGATGGGGCCCGTCATTAATGGGTCAATGTCTACTAGTTCTGAGGTAAGTGGGTCAAGCAAACAAAAACAATGCATAAAAAAAATCTGGACCAGATATATATATCATTTTACCCAGCCTGGGTGTGTGTGAAAGCGACATTCCTTGCATATCTAGGTCATAATTTTCGACAGGAAATGGAACATCTGTGTAAATTATTTTATCTTTATAGTAAAATTATTTAAATGTCACATAAAAATTACATTCTATACAACAGAGGTTCTAAAAACAAACTCGTGAATATTTTCTTTACCGTTTTTTATTTCATCTGTAACTTACAAAAATGTTAACGAAAACCATTTGTGATAATGCTGAGCAATTGTACAGAAAAAAGTAATTTTGCATTTTACAACTAAAAAATCTTTACGCGTTGTCTTTTTATTATTATTATTAAACTGAATCGGTGTAAAAAAGCAAGAAAACATTTCATTAAAAAAAATCATAAAAAATACCACAACAATTGCAATATCTTGAGAATTTTTTAACAGGTGGTGAAGCGTATTTTAGAGCGAGAAAAGCCGTTCGTTGCCAAGCTCAACTTTCCTGTAGTTGACGTTCGTGATGTCGCCGCTGCGCATGTCAAGGCTATGACGTTAGATGAAGCTGCTGGTAAGTTGCAATGCGCATGTCACATATATATGACGTCAGATAAAGAGAATGAAATGGCTAGTATAACATAAGGCCATTCCAAGTTTTTTCTATGTTTAGCGTCCGCGTGCGCTTTGGTTTTGACACTCCATATCAGAAAAAAAAAACACACAAAATCAAGAGTTCTGAAATTGATTTTTCTTGTCGAAATCTGAGAATTGTCCAATTTCTCTAAATATTTGTCTACAATATGTCAAATTAGGGATATTTTAAGCATTTAATACATTGATTTTGCTGAAGAATAGATCTTCCTACAAGATAAATAAATTAATGAAATCAAATACCTTGAATGACGTCATTTTTATGACTACTAAGTCTGTGTTTTATTTTTTGTCTCGTGCGTTTTTAGCGAATAGGTAGGTAGGTTTTTGAAAAATGGGTGGACGCTAAACATAGAAAAAACTTGGAATGGCCTAATGAAGAAGAAAAAAAAAATAAAATGTGTGCAAGTTACTCATTTCATTAGAAACTTGTTAGAAAATAAAACTAAGACATGAGAAGATACTCAGGATAGCTGGCGGAAACCTTACTTTTATTAACTAGAGAGACGAAAAAGTGTTCTAACTATTTAAATGTTTCTTGTTTGCCAGCCAGCATTAGGAGCTATGATGATATTTTCTGTTATGCTGGTAATTTTAATCGTCATGCAGACAATAAAGATAAACCATATTGTGTAGGGGCCGGTTGGGGGCCTTGTTAATGATTTTCAACCGGTTACATATATAAATACTGCTTATCAAACACAGTTGACATTTATTTGACATTTTATGGTTCAGATAAGTACAGAGGCTTCTAATTAATTAATGAATTATATTCAATCAATATTTCTTTTTTTTTCAGGCAAAAGACACCTTGTAGTAAACTCAAACGTTTGGATGAAAGAAATGGCGCTAATTCTATCAAAAGAATTCAAACATCAAGGTATCTAGATTAAGCTAGTATTGATTAAAAAAAAAAACGAAGGTTTTATGTGCATTATACATATAAGTGACAATTTTACTAACATAACAATGTCTAGTAGATATAATGCGTGGTGTACAACCTATTTTTTTCTCAAAGGAAGCTATTTTTGTGTACAAATTTATCAACTCATGAGTTTTAAATGTTTCCTTTTTGTATTTTGTAATTTAAGAAGCAGGAAGGTTGTTTTGATGGATTTTATATACATGCACGCATTCTAATTCGTGACTATACATACAGATATAAACCCCTTTAGAAAACCGAAGGAGCTAATTTAACAGAAATGAGGCACAAAGCTTATCACTACCAACATATTCTAAAACTAAATTTTCCTCGTTTTTCAATCTTTCAGCAATGTTGTGATTCATATTTTTGTGCAAAAAATCGACATGGATAAATATATAATGTCTGTTAAAATTGGCATTCATGAGTATAAAAAGACGCAGGATCGCCCACGTAACGAGAATGCAATATTTCTCTAATTTATCGGGGCTTTAAAAATACCAACGTCAGAAAAAAAAAAGTCTTTGATGAATTAACATGATTGGAATCAATGATAATGACACTCATAGTGGAGGCATTGAAGAAAATCAACACTCATGAAATGGCCCAATTCTTTGCTTGAATATTTATTTAATTTTATGGAAATTTTATGATTTGATAATTTTTATTATCCCATCTTTACGCCTTTATACAGTGAATATAGCTGATGAAATAGCGTATTCACGGTTTCGATGTCACAAAGGTTTTTGCATGAATTTGATCAAGTCAAATATTGTCGATTTTCATGTACATGTAGAAAAAGTGCAGAACATGTGATATAACGGATTTCCCATGGTTTGTGGTTGGAGATGATTTTTCTTATCCAACTCATTGTGTGTTTTATCCACTTGTCAAGGCTCAGGAATAAAAACATATAACTCGCCGGATGAAAAAAAAAAAATCATATCCAACCACAAACCATGGGAGATCCTAGATATACATGTATCATCCTGGAATAGCTAAATTAACGACTGTCTGTATTATTTATTATTATGTCATGAATGGAAGTCAAATGACACTGAAGATCTAAATATATTTTTAATAATTTGAAGAAAAAAAATGTATTCTTTGGGGAAAAAATTCCCATTTGCATTTGCATAAAGTGATTTGAACATATATGAATTTGATACATTCTACTTTGAATTTTTTAGTAACTGTCGTTCGTTTTCATAAATGAAAGTTCTGTTTGAAATAAAAATTAGAAAGAAGTTCAACAAGTAGGTCACGTCTGTAAAATGCACAAAATGTAAATTGAGCAAAAATATTCCGCATTGGGTTGTGTTTACTTTTGGATCTTATATCTTTTGTATAACCGGACGAACGAAAATAAAGGATTTTATTTGAAAAAAAGAACAATCAGGGAAGTTATTTTTTATACATTTATTTAAATGACACTTGACAGGTGTAAGATTAGGGGGAAAAAATAAAGATGACTTAAGTGATACTGATATAAGTTTTAAAGTTTGTAGCCTATTGCATATAACAACAAATTCTCGGGTTTTCCCTTCACATCAATGTATCCATGTATGTGTCTCGTCTCAGTCTGCGAAAAACTATATATCAATTAAAACTCATCATATTTAGGTGTGATTAAGGCAAAAAAAAAAAAAAAAAAAAAAAAAAAAAAAAAAAAAATCTACTCCCTAAGTTCAGTGATTTGTAATGTTACATAATTACCCATTCCCCTTGAAGAAAACTTGACAACGGGGTACAAATGATAATAATAATTTATTTTAATTATCTTGGCCGCTGAAAATAGTATTAATAGTATTCCAATTTGAAATGTCTCGTTTTTACTTATTTCGATTAGTAATGTTAAGGATAACCGGCTAATAAGAAATGATAGGGACTGCAATGAACAACAACTAAATTATCTAATAGTAAAGAAAAAAAAATCTTTTGTCTTCGAGAATTGACAGGAAATGGAGGCACTTTCATGACCAAAGAGAGATAACTTGTTTAAAAGTATTAACTTTTTTCAGGATACAATGTACCTACAACAAACTGCCCTAATGCCATCCTCCATATGTGCAGCTGGTTCGACAAGACCATTAAAATGATAATGCCGGACGTCGGAAAAGTCTTCAAATTTGACACCACAAGGGTAACGTTTCATTCATAACTGTAAAATTAATTTCTTTAAGAAATTTTTTTAAAATTCACTTATTCTGAAGGTAAAACCTTCAGAATAAGTGAATTTTAAAAAATTAACACAAACACACAAGTTTAAATATGTACGATGACACCGACTGCATTAAGAGTGAAAAGGATAATGAACTTTAAATGATTTTATCCAGATGAAGGATGTCCTTCAAATTACCCCGACTGAGCTCAAGGACACATTGATTGACATGGCCTACAGTTTAATTGACGCGGGTCTGGTCAAGAAAACGAAGAAATTCAAGGGCCCCGGCAGTGGGGAGCCCGAGGGGGGAGAGGAGGGGGAGAAAAAGGAAGAAGGCCAGGAAAATGAAGGCGAGGAAAAACCTAAAGAGAACGGCGATGTCAAAGATGAAGACAAAAATGAAGACGATCTGAAAAAGGTAAAACTGCAATTAAATAAAATGTTGTGGAATAATTACTTACTAGTTTACCTCATGAATAAGGATCTTACATTATTTTCTTTAAACCTCAATATATATACGGAGATTAAAAAAAATCACAAGCAAAGAGAGATAACTCGTATAACGAAATATTGTAGGAAGGAAAGGAGGAAGAGAAGTCTGAAAAAATAGAGGACGTTAAAGATGAGAAGAAGGAAGGGGATGAGGAAAAGAAAGAGGAAACCAAGACAGAGGAAAAGAAGGAGGAAAAATCAGAATCTAATCCAGAGGAAACCGCAAAATAGACGTGAATCACCGATAGATTTATATTTACAATTGACTCCTAACATGAAACATATTGCCATGACATATTTTTTATAAAAAATTCCACATGGTTTGGAAATGTTGTGAGGAATGGATATCGACCTGGCGGGGATTATTTTTTTGATATAGATGGAGTAAGAAAAAAAATTGTGACACAAAGTGTGGGAGACTATGGACAAGGCCTAGTCATGGGTTAAAAAATATGAATGATGTTTTTTTTTCTTTCACGTGACACTGACTCAAAATCTCGAAGGACCAATTTATGATGAAAAAGAATATATATGTTTACAAAAAAAAATATTAAAACTTTGGAGGGAATTTCAGATATCAAACCAAGTGCTATGAAAATGAGGGGCTTTTTTCCCTTTCATAATTCATTACTTAGCCATAAATATCATAAAAAAAATATTCACTACATTTTTTCAATGAAATCCTGTTTTTGTCACACCAAACTGTACATTTTATGACAGAAGTGCAATATTAAATTGTGTAAAAAAACATATAGGGTATTGCTACTGTCAAGTCTGGATTAACAAGTTTAACAATATAACTTGACACTGTTAAACCAGGTTTGACTGTAAAGATGTACCGCCATATAGTGTCACGAAAAGAAAGAATCAAGCTTATCAAAATACTCATTTATTTCATGAATTTAGAGCTTTTTATATTGTTTCCAGTTTTTCAATTTAAGCAAATTACATGCAGTTCATGGAAACATTCACCTATTGTTGGCTTGGAACTTAGTTTTTGTACAAAAAATCATTAGTGTTAACCAGTTTATGCCTTCATTTACGCCACTTTTTCGCTCAGAGTCCATTATAAATGGATGAAGTGTTGTTTCGTATTGTGATGAGCTAAACCATACATTGGCTGCCTTGAAGTTATTTTTTATCAAGAGTTTTGCTCTCCTTTTTTGATACTGATGAGTTTTAAAAATTTTTAATTCATGTTTGTAAATCTAATGCATCATTTTTTTTAACACCGGGAACCTGTTTTAATGAACTTTCGTTAATTATTCTCAATTTTGTAACACGTAAGGCGTCAATGATACATCTAGAAGCTGAGAAAAACAGAAGAATTTTTTTTTGATACTTAGTGTATATCCAGGTTAAAAAAAATGATATAGATAAAATTAAAATAAGAACTCGTGTGAAATTTATGTGAAACATTTCTAAATTTAGGGCAATCGAACGTCTCTTTTGAGATTCGTATATTCCACTTGAAATTGTGTTAGTGAAATTGTGTGAACAATGCAAAGGTTGTACCTACATTTCTGTTCTGTTCTGTATAATTTATATGTATCCTAAAATAGATTCATCTGTGTACTCTCGAGAATCGTATAGTCAAAAATAAAGGAATTTAGATTGTTTTTAAATCTTTTTTTTTTTATTTCATTTTTTTTTGTTTTACACATTAATTAGTATGTAGAACTGTATGATATCGTATTGTAGATAAATGATGGAAATATTTGCAGATTAAAATGCCAAAGTGTTGTAATAAAACCAGTATGTTAAGCGCTTACATATATATTAAAAAAAGTAATGTGAACATTTGTATAAATTTTAGCTGGACATGTTCAATGTGTAAACAAGTTCTATAAATATATTTTATATGCCACATAGTTGCACTGCGTTTATAGTGTCATGGTAACTTTATAGCTCATTAATACCCCTAACTAGTCCTAGTATGTTTGCCATATAAAGTCATTTATTTATTAATTGTTTTATAATTTGTCATGCATGCATTATGAGATTAGTTTATAAATGTTTGAGGGAACCTTTTATCCTCGGACATTTTGTGTATACTAGTATCTCATTATTTTTTACAATTGCATATTCAGTATTACATTTCGTATTTGTAATTTGTAATCACATTGTAACATTCCGCAATTTTTTATGAAAATTTACGGAATGCTGTATGTGAACTTACTAAAGCATGGAGTCTTCGTTCAACCAATTCAATTTTTAGCTATTTTTGTAACAATTTTTGGGGTGAACTTGTGTATACATTATATACTTGCAATGGTATATACGGTTCACCATTTAAAAATTTTGTTTTGTCTTGTGCTAATAATTTTTAACTGCAGTAACATTGGAAAGCATTTGGAGTGAAACCTAATCTCTCTTAATCCACTGGCATATAAAACAAGCTTTAATTCTTCAGTCAAACTTATTTTAGTCATTTAATTTGCATCTTGTCAAAAGTCTGCTGGAGATCAAATGACTTGTATCCAAAATAAGATAATGACTAAATTTACACATGTTGATTTCATTCTAAGGTTATGACTCTCTTTTCCGGAAATTTTAAAGTTATCCGATGCCATTCAGAACAAAAATCTAGTAAATTGAAAAAAAATCTCTATAGGTACTATTTAGGTTGTCATGGAAACGGTTGTGATCTCCAGTAGCGCCTACGTCATCAATGTATTGTAAGCTCAATTCTATAAATGTGCATTACTTGTACCAATAAACAAGTCTATGTCTGTATCAAGCCTGTGTTATTTCTGTATGAAAGATTAAACCCGCACCAACTAATAATACTGTCAAATATTAGTTTACTAACCCGAGTATGTGATGGGAGCGAGAATTGAAATAAAACCTAAGGCATCTTTAAAAAAAAAAAGCCTTGTGTTGCCTTGATACAGATAATTGGAAGCATGAAGCACTATTTTCTTGAGAGAAAAAAAACTGCCTTAGTAATTAGGTAAAGGGGTTACTTTGGGGAAAAGTTGTCATGTTGTGAGGGGGAGACTGAAGGGGTGCAACTGAAGCTTGTGTAGTAAGCAGTGAATTTCTGTTGGAATTAATTGATGGATTAAGTTACGATTTATCATGAAATACGATGGGTAATTTCTACTAAAGCACAGGTATACTGGGTGCAGTACCAGACTTTGAATATAATTTGCAGCTTGATGATAGTGACCATTGAATTGCACTGGTTGTTTCATCCTTCAAGTGTGCTTCTAACTCCATGCAGGAGTATGTCCTAAAATCCAGTATATAGTAGAGGGAGTACTTCTCTCTGCAAGGTACTCTCTCCATGTCAGATTGTTGAAAGTTTGCAAGTGGAACTAGCATGTATAACAAAACACTAATTTCGCAATTTTTTGCAAATGAAATAAAAAGGTAAAATCGGAAAATGATTTTGCTCAGAATATTGTAGAATTTAATATCAAAATATTTATTGCCAAGCAGGGCTATATCTTCAATATGTTGAAGAATATTTGTATTATGTTTTCCCCAAAACTAAAATGATACGAAATCTTTACGAAATCGTAACTATGTTAGTTGTACACACAGGCTGGTGTGACCGGTCGACAGGGGATGCTCACTCCTTCATAATTCTGATGTTTCTGGAGGTCCGTGTTTGCTCTGCTCTCTCTGTTTGTATGACTTTGAGCTCGAATACTGTTCGTTATCTCCATATTTCATTCTAATAGGAAAGCGTTTCATTTGAATATGAAAAGCCTCATACAAGAACCTCATACTTACATGTAGTATAGTGCGGTGTTTTTCTGAAAGATTAGTAGTTAACTTTGCTAATTTTTTTTGTACTTAATGTACATTTTATCATCTGATCGAAAAAACCGTCCAAGGACAGATGTTAACTGGCAAAATAACTCAATACATGTAATCATTAATTGTTATACTTTATTTCCATGGTTACCACAACTTTGAAAAGATAATATTTTGTCCATTACTTCCAGTACTTTAGTGTGTATCATAAAACATTGTTGGCAGAATAAATCTTGGTCAATTATGGCTGCTATAATTCAAGATAGGGAGAAGGTCAATTTCTCCTTTATGGAAACTTATACATTCATTTTACAATCATATGTTTTCTATTTTGTTTCCTATCTTGGATTGATTGTCCTAACTAAATTGATAATCAAGGATGCCATAGTTTAAGTAGTAGTTAATGATGCCGTCTCTTCCTACAAAGCTGGTAGGACAGCATATAGCTTAAGATTGTAGTTCTTCGTAGCGGCTATATTGTCCTATGATTCAAAAATATAAAGGAAATCGCTTGCAAACAGAAAATCTCCAAAAACATAGGCATCTTTTATGTTGGTTTTGTAATCTAAAAGAATTATTCAAATGAAGAATCCGTCATGTGTACAACGGTTCTAGCATTGGTTGAGGAGGATGAAAGGAACAAGATGGCATATATTGTTCTACAAAATGTGAAGATAGAGTCCTGCTTCACGTTACTGAAAACGGTAAATGGTAGAATCAAGTCCTCAGTTTCTACTATACGGACTGTCTTGCCATTAAGAAATACTAGTCTTGACGAAATTTAAAGAACAAACGAGTCTTTTTAGAATAGCTCAGAGAATGAATCTGTTCAGGGCGTTTTGTTTGACCCTCGTCTGATTTGGTTTGTTTCACATTTCCTTCTCAGCCCAAAATATTCCAAGAAGTACAGTGCAATAAAATGAGTTCTTGGCTGTTTTCTCCTCATCAGATACCCTCGTTTCTTTAGTGATGCAAACTTTCTTGTTGACCGACTGTTTGGATAATTTTAGTGTTTACTGAAGTCTTTAGCATGTTAACAAGGTTTGGATTTGTGGTGTTTTTTGCAGTTCGATACAAATGAAAAGATTTTTGATCCGTTCACCTTATAACAATATGTGAACAATATTGTTTGATTGATGAAGAAATAAACAAGAAATTCACATGTAGATCCATTTCAATCGCCGCAGCAAACCGTCACCTGAAGGTAATACTATTATTATAGGAATAACGTAGAAGTGGAACATCTATAGGATAAGTGAAAATTTAGGAAAAACAAGATGTGTTTGTGAGACACTGATGGCCCCGTATAGCAACTAATAGCAAAAGTTAAACTTAAAATGCAAATCAAATATGTTGGTACCCAAAGTAAGGTCTTGTCTCGAGGAATATACCTGTGAAATATGAAAGCCCTAGTAGCAACCATTGAATAGATATAGAAAAGGTTAAAGTTTTTCAAAAGTAAGTCAAACATCAAGGTCAAGGTCAAATGGTCAAAATTAATGATGGTACCTTAGGAAAGTCTTTCTCACAAAAAATATACAGGTGAAATATGAAAACTGAAGCACCAATCGTTCAATAGTTATGACCAAGATTTAAGTTTTTCAAAAGTAGGTCAAACTCCAAGGTCAAGATCAATGGATTACAATTTTTGCTTGTCACAAGGATTACATATGTGAAGTATGAAAGGCTTAGCAGCAACGGTTCAAAAGTTATGGCCTAGGTTAAAGTTTTTCAAAAGTATCAATCGTTTAAAAGTTGTGGCCAGTGTTAAAGTTTTTCAAAAGTAAGTCAAACTCCAAGGTCAAGGTCAAAGGGTCAAAGTTGTTGCTATCCAAAAGAAGGTCTTGTCACAAGGATTACATATGTGAAGTATGAAAGGATTACATATGTGAAGTATGAAAGGCTTATAGCACCAACGGTTCAAAAGTTATGGCCAAGGTTAAAGTTGGATAAAAATTTGCAAAACTGGGTCAAACTCTAAGGTCAAGTTCAAAAAGTCAAATATGGTGGTACCAAAAGAAAGGTCTTGTCACAAGGAATACACATGTGAAATATGAAAGCCATAGCTCAAACCAATCAAAAGTTATGGGCAATGTTAAAGTTTTTGCGGACAAACAGAGAAACAGACAGACAGACGGACGGACAGGGCAAAAACTATATACCCCCGAATCTTCGATACGGGGGCATAAAAACCCTCTACAGCGTAATATTGTTTCATGCTTAGGCAGTAATATCTACGGAAGCCGGTAGGTGCCAGGTAGAAAAATATTTTATATGGCGGCCGCAGATAATTATCTGGCGGCCACCAAATAAATAACTGGCGGTGTCGCATAATATTTGGTCCGCCTCGTTTGGCGGACCAAATATTATGCGACAGCGGCCGCCAAATAATTATCTGGCGGCCGACAGATAGGTTATCTGGCGACCGCCAGATCTCTTTATTTGGCGCCCGCCAATTCAGTATATTCAAAGACAAATATCGAAAATATTCCTGTACAGAGTAAATTTATGAAGTGATGTCTATATATACAATATCTAAGTACAACACTTACAATAGTCCCTGGCTAAAAGACACAAGTACAGTATTATAAGAACGTCGCTCGGTTTGTACATGTATGTACCATATTGCAATGTTTTAATATATGCATAAAAAACATTCATTTGCACTTCAAAAGTAAAAAAAAGATAACTTTGAAATTATTTATTTTGCTTAAAATGCTATTCATGGGGGATTACAACTACGATATTCAAAGATGTGAAGTTAATAAGTATAAAACAACTCAGGAAGCTATATCGAATGGGAGTTGTGGCCTGCTCCTGTTATCCAGCTACTTGGAGGTCAGAATCGGTGTACGATTTGAGGGTGGGGGTCCTTCTCTCATGCGACCTATGTCGATCGGGCGCCCGCACTAAGTATGGCATCAATATGGTCACCCCGGGGGAGCCCAGGGTGTCCAGGTTGGGTAAGGAGGGACGTATAGGTCTAGGGTGGAAACAGCTAACAGATGTCCCCGTGCTCTGCAGTAGTGGGATCTCGCACGTGAATAGGCACATGTTGGCAGCCCGTCCAATACAATTGAACCCAACTCTTTTTTTATATCTCTATTTCTTTATTTTTCCTTTTTCTTTTTTTTTTCTTTTTAATTTTCTTTATTTTTCAAAACCCACACTTAATAAGTTGAAAAATACATTAATACATTTTAAAGGTTTCAAAGGATTTTGTAGAATAAATTGAATTTATGTATCACCATTTGTAAATGAATGAATATTTGTTCTTCAATTAAATATCAGAATTACATTTCATCTCAAATATTCCAATTTTATTTGGCAATGCATGTAAAGGATACGGTGTGCATAAAATTATTTGTACATTTAAATAAGTTAACGTTTTCCAGAGTTACCTCTCTTTGATTAGTCCGTCATTTAAAAACGTAACGCGTGAGATAAATTTAACAATTCTCAAATGTGGAGTAAATACTTAGAGGTACATTGTAGATGTATGTATTACATTACACGCAGATGCTTGCTTTTTATCCTCGAATGCACAATCGATCGGCAATTTCAAATATATGCAATGTTATGCTAGAATAATATTTTCTTCATTCAGTATGAAACAAAACTCCGTCAATGTCTCACTATTTAATCTTCATTGTTATCAGATTTTCATCATTATATAGTTTTTTTAACATGTGAAATAATTTTTGAGATTTAAATAAATCAATTTTTACTAAAGATATTTTTGTCAATTTATTTGATATATGTTAATGAAGCTGGCCCGTTCCTAAACTGGGTTTAATAAGTGTCATGGTAGCTTTGTAGCACGTCAATACCCATAACTAGTAAGTAATTAAGAAAATGATTTATTATTATGACATGTGTTTATTTAAATTGCAATGAGAAATTGAACATTAAAATTAACTACTAGTATTTAAACACCAGGCCCATGGGACCTATATGTCACTTTATACAAAAATA